GTTAATATACTCTTCTCCAAAACGATCAATTTTTGGTGACATCACACTGTCTACAAAAAGTCAAAGAATGACAAAATGTATTTCCGTGACATTATACTGGTTGTGGTTATCACATGACTTTCTGATTTGCATATTCAATAACGTTTTAATATAATGCTCTCAACCGTGTACTTCCAACACACTAGAGCTCTGACTGGATGTTAATATCACACATTGCGTTGAAGTTAAGATTGATAAATATTTTGGTAAAATGCTACTGCTTCTAAAATATATTAATAAAAAATCTATTCAAATGACAGTACAATTTGTAAACATCTAATGATTTTTCTCAAAATTTCTTCAGCCCACCGGTGGGTCAATGGTAATTTTGGGGGCTTACAATGCTAAAATCCAGCGTACGATTCCAGGCGGTGTTTTTTTCTAAAACAAGCAAACTAAGCATTTTTTCTGTTACTTTTAATTATAGAAGTTGTTATGTTTATGCAGGCTAGGTATGTATTTTAGTGTTTTAGGGATTAAAATATCTTATTTAAAAAAATGGTTTCCAAAAAACAAATTGTTAACACTACAAAAACTCTATGAAGTAACTGTATTATAGCTTCTAAAAATTAAATTTTACAACAAGTAGTTAGTTTTATCTGTGTAATATACAAATTTGTAATTGATTATTATATCTTATTAATACAACAGTGAGGCTTATAATTTTATGCACTAAGAATGCTTTACTTTTCATAGAAAATCATGTGCTTCTAAAATTTGCATTATAACGCTAAAAACTGGGTTTTGATACTTATTGTGTGGCTTTATGCCTAAGTACAAAAAAAATCTAAAATTTGTAATGTATTGTTCCTTATTTTTAATATTACAAAGTATTATTTGCCAATTACAGCTGGTTTTTAGTCACATTTCATTGGATAATTCTATATGTCAAATAGAACGGAATAAGTGTAATTGCTCTATTAAAATGATACATTTAAAGAGTATTTTAGTGTTAAACGCGATATTGCCATTCAAACATAATTTCATGCAAAATTATAAGAAAATATTGCCTCTCTTTTCATTCTTTTTGACATGGGTTGTATTACACTCTCTACTGACCAGTTCTGAACCTTTAATATTATTTTTTCACTAGAATTTGTTCCTCGCTGTTCAGTGCACGATCCGTACTGTTATATCTTACCGATGATCTGGTTCTCTAATAAGCGCCGAAAATTTTATATATATATCATAATTCTCAGAATAACTTGGTTTCCACTACTCCGCCCATCCATACTTTTATCATTTACATTCTTATTCTCTGACTACATATTCGCTTATTATTATCTCGTTATAATTTGGTTCTCATTGTCCCATTTCTTCACACTACTTTCTTCTTATTTTCCAGTCTTACATCCATTTATTATCATCCCAATAGAACCTGGCTTTCACTTTCCCGCATATCCACAATATTATCTTCTCAATATTATTCAAATCTCACACTAAGTCTTATCATCTTAGTAGAATATGATTCTACTCTATCAATCTTCTATCTGAACTATCATGTTAAAATATTATCGTCTATCGCACGAAAACATAGTCCTCCAAGTGCCTTTTCACGTAAATGTGATTTTAATTCTCCAGTTTTAATATTATCGTCTCACAAGAATCTTGTTCATAGTCCAGTTTTGCATCCGCATTATTACCATGGAAATCTGGGTAGTGGTCCATTATCCTCCTCTCTATCAGCACTGATTTCCCACGGGAATCTTGTTGAAACTGCAAATTAGTAGGTTTTAATTTAAAAATAAAACTTTAAAAAAGTTTCATTTAACAAAACGAATAAACTGTGGAAGTAAAAATAATGGAGTTTATGTTAAAAACAAACACAGCATAAATAATAACTTGATAATTTCACTTCCCCCCCAAAAAAAGAACAAGTATAAACTGTATTGCAAAACGCTGATCGTGAACAGATGTCTGAATCACAGAATATAATGACTATTTTTAACCTCTGTTTCTATGAAATCATTTCAAAGTTTTTCAACACTTAACAATGATAAAAGTTCTTCACGCTCCACGAGCTTTATTTCCAGACGAAAAGATCATTTTAGTTTTTAAACCAGAGCTTTTAATCTGACGATATATGTAATTATCCTGTCAACTTTTCTCTTGGAACTTCAATATTATGTCATTGATTTTTAATATTCCTCTAAACTAGAACCGTAGCTCTTTTTACACACATTACTTTCGCTTCTAAAATTGACTCTTGCTATTATTCAAATAATTTTTTTTGCCAACTTAGAAATTTATACATTTTATTATATAATCAATGCAAATCTCTTCAAGATACGCTGAAACAGATTATTACACTTTAAAGGTTCATTAAATAATATAATTTATTAAGTGATTTACAGTTATGGAACTACAAAGATGAAATGGGCCAAAATTAATAATGAATTAGTAATTACATTAGTGTTCGTTTACGCTATTATTTAACAATGACATAGAATTAAATTAACTTTATTATACGGCAATCATTCCTATAGCGGAAACTTAATATAGTCTTTACTATGCAGAACGATCAAGTAGGGTTTTAATTTGTTTTAGCAACATTTTCATACAGAAGAACAATTTGTAAGTAATTTTGAGCGTATTTGATTTTACACCGAATTGAGTTTCATGTTGACGACCTTGAGATTTTGTTCTTCTTCAAAACATGCTACCCCTAAAAGTAAGTAAGAATTGTCAGCTAAAGTAGGTGATTATATTATTAACAGAGTTTCAAGTATTTCTTACAGCAAGTAAACACAGGCAAACATACAACTGTACATTTCAACATCTTCCGAAGAGGTATTACAAATAGAGCTTATATGAATTATTTTAACATCTTCTTCTACGTTTACAGCATTTAAATGGGGGCATTTATCTGTCATTAATGTTTTTAATATACCACAAATGTATGGCACCCTAATATGGCAGAAATAATTTCAATAGTTTTTAAATATACAAACAAAAATTGTTCAATTTAGAGCACTGCACTCCATCTCTACATGTTTATTTTTTATTACAAAAATGTACTGATATGTACATTTTTGTAATAAAATAAATAGGTTGAGAACAAAGAACAAACAAACAAAATACCTACATTCTTGTATGTTTTTCTGTTTGAAATAATCTAATATTCTCTAGAATGTCATACATGCGTAAGAATGACATAATAATAACATTTGTTAGTTCTATACGTCATAAAGGAATATTAAGAATAAAATATTAATTAAAATGAAAAATTATATTAATTTTTACGTCTCGTCTTTCGTGAAAATGCTGTATCAGTTATTTTACTTCCAATCAAACTAAATTGTTAAGTATAATAAGATCTCCTCATCGCTGTTTTAACTGTTCGTCATTTCAAATATTTTTTTAGGAATTATTCAAACTAAAAAGTTAATTTTAACTCATTGCAATATCATTTTGCATTGTGGGTAATTTGTAATGTTTAAAGAGTGAAACATATATGTTTTAGCTTGTCAAATGTTATTTCTAAATCCCCAAGCGATATAATGAATCTGTTAGATAACCAAATCACATTTGATATGAGATACGGTTTAGTAAAAGAAAAACAACAATAACAAAGAACAACATAGCAAAACACTTGAACAATAAACTGGTGGGACGACTGAAAAATGTAGCGAAACACTTGAACAATAAATTGGTGGGACGACTGAAAAATGTAGCGAAACACTTGAACAATAAATTGGTAGGACGACTGAAAAATGTAGCGAAACACTTGAACAATAAATTGGTAGGACGACTGAAAAATGTAGCGAAACACTTGAACAATGAATTGGTGGGACTACTGAAAAATGTATTTCGTAATTTATTATTGAGGTTGTGTAAACATATATGCTATATAAGCAAAATAAGTACGTCTAACTATCCAGATTAAATATGCAACAAATTGCTCAAGTTTTCATAATTTTCAGCTAACAAACACTAGTGAAACAAAGTTTGAATTAGTATCTAAATACTGTTTAAAAATAAACATGAAAAGGGAGAGAAAAATGTATTGGTGATCTAAAATAGTTTCAAAATAATTCAACAAATTATATAATAAAATAAAAAGAATAATCATTTATAATTTTTTATTTCACTTTCTTTACTATATTTAATTAAAATATGTTTGCTTTTCTTAAAAAACAGCGATTGTGTTAAAAGAATGTGACGTTTACTGGCATAGCCAGCAATGATAATCATTTCACAGCTTGTTAAAAAGTTAGAAGTTTTATAGCAGAATATACTTAACCTTTTAGTTCCAAAACGCGTCTTATAAATAAAATTAAATATAAGAAACTTGTCTGATATCGATGCTGCAACCTTAAACTTCTGGAAGTCTCTTTGTTTCTCATGTATAATTTTCAAAGTTAATGATAATTCGTAATTATTATGAAATTTTCCTCAGTTCACACTTTGTCATCAATAACAGACATAATCTTTATGCCCCAGTATACGATTAAAGTGAAATAATATATATTTTAATGTATAACATTAATTGTATCGGGGCAAAACGTTAGAAACTTTTATTGGAAATTACTTGAATTCTAGTTATCGCTAGAGCTTGAGCTATTGTGTGTCTTCATAAATTAAAACTTTCAGTTTACTCTATTATAAATTTGCTTGTAAAATATTTCAAGACCAACACGTATTTGTTACCTACTAGTTAAACAATGAAAGCACTTAGATAATACACCGAAAATTATTTTTCCAGAATATCAATTCTGATCTCTAAAACACCAGCTTCATCGTTTTTGTCCAAATGTACGTATAATGAACAACGCAAAGTCCATGATTTACTTCACAATATTTATTACATTACAAATACTATATGTTCTCCACTTTACACCGAGACAAAATTAAAATATTTCTACTTGAAGCAAACTGTTTATTTTTATACATAAAATATTATTATAACACCCTGTCTGTAATTAAGCACAAAGCTACACAATGGGCTGTACTGTGCCCATCACGTGAATCGAAACCTAGATTTTAGTCTTATAAGTCCTCAGACATACGTTGTGCTCACTTATTATAGGGATATTATTTAAAAAGAACAAGAGGGAATTATAAATTTAGTTATTAGGTTAAAGTTGATAAGTAATTTTTGTATATACACATATATATATTCTACTATTTGTAACATGCTACAAGTACCTGGTATAAACTCTGTTATTTTGCAACAAATAAAGTTGAAAGTGTCTTCTTTCTTTGTAAATAATTTATTAATATCGAGAAGTGGATCACATTTTTGGGGCCAAACAATAAGAAAAACAGTTCGTTCTTATTAAACATTCCTGAAAAAGTAGCTTTCTCTGTTGTTGAGGATGGTGTAGACGAACTGATTTAAAATAATAACATAATGTAGAATCCTTCAAACGTCTTTGTCTTTATGGTATATTCTACTAATACTATACATTATTTTAAAGATTTTTAGTAACCAGTTAGAACAACTACATCAAAGCCATTATCTCTTCTTATTTTGAGTCGTCATAAACGACCCTCTGAGACTGTTTCAAGAGTTATTTAATATTCTAATATTCGAACAACGAAATATTCACTGTTACATGGTTTTCGATTTTTTTTATTATTATTATACAAATACATAATATATAAGTAATGACATATACTTCGATCAAACAAACTCATAAAGACTTCTGTTATCTTTTACTACATGTTAATCTGAGCTGACTAGAACCTAGTACATGCTATAACGATAACTATTAAACATCTATCTCCAAAAAACGTCATTCACCTGTCACGTTTTCTGACGTAACACCTTCTTCAAGGGTGTATTTTAGTAAAGCATTTTTTTCCTTTGGTGCGCTGTTAATAGTTGAAAAAAATAGAAAGTCAATACAGAACGGGATGTACAGTATAATCAGTTTAGACATTCACTATATTCAAAACAATTATGTACAATAAACGTTATCATTTTTAATATTATTTGAACAACATTAATTAAGTGAACAATTTACATCATTAACAATACCTATATGATATGACATAGTTAAATCACAGAAAAACACGAAAATTGAAACATATACCAGGTGGTTTCAAGACTGCAAGAGCGATGACGGTGAAAAAGTTTACACACTTGAGTCTAACCAGACAGTGAAAGAAAATGACTTTCCATTATGACAGTAATGAAGTAACTTGTCTTGAGCACTACACGTGACGTAAACAAGATTATTTATGTGAATACTGAAAGCAAAAGTAAAACGACTTTGGACGGGGAGCTGGGATCACAAAGTAAAGATTGTGTCAGACGTAGATGAATCAATACGGTGTTGACGTAAATGTAAGATTATCAATGTGAATAAGTTCCATGGTGAAATACATAAAGTATATTAGGTATTTCTAAGACCAGGGAAGCTGCTTAAAGTATCAATTATGGAATCACGTGAATGTGACTAATCTTATCCTCTTTCTTCACACTCTTAGAAGTATTCGATACCCAAGAAGTATTCACGTACTTACAGAAGTTCCCGTATGCGAGAATATTCTAATGATTTGTTTAGAAAATTATAAAAAAACTTAAACCTAGATAACTTGTAAGTTTACAATGAGATCTAATCTAACCACAAAAATAAATAATAATAAGAAAACCAGTCAAATTGCTTACATTTAAGTACCTTCTTCAGTTAAATATCACATATTAGGTCCCTTCTTTAAGCTTTGGGTAGTTAACTCTGTTTTTTCACAAGATTATCACTTTGTTTTATTGACAGGAGAGCAGCATCGTTTTTTGGTGATATTAGTAAAATGACAAATCCATTAATAACCCATAAAATATATGACTAAGGCAATTTAAAACTTATAAACTGAAAGAGAAAGTTCACCTGTAATAAAGTCATCTCTTATCACTAACTCTACTCGTCATACAGTCACTCAGAATCGAAACACGAGAACTAAACAAATACATAACCTCGAAAACCAGTAGACTGGAAAAACAATTTATATTGTAGGAAAGAAAAACACTGAAAGATAAACAACAAAGATGAACCTGCCGAGCCCTGTGGAAACACTAAGCTTACGACTTTGATGCAGGTAAAAGAGTTACGACATTCTATCGATGGTTTTGTATTATAGCTAAAACAAATGTGTTTTCGAGATTAATCTTATTGGTAATCCTTGGGGCTACTAATACTCTCGAGCATGGCACAGTAGTTCTTAAAGTTTGGTTTATTTCTGTGAGGTTAATGCAAGTGTTGTATCTGCATCTTGATATTACCTAAATAATGGCGTCTATGTTAATCGTATGGTCAAACGTAATCTGCAAACTTTTAATTATTCCCTTTATTTACCTACAGTGTGTAATTTTTTGTTTTCTAAGTTATTCCTATTGCGTAATAAAAATGTTATGACTGTAATAACAAAAACTTGGAGAAATGTATTACATGTTCACGCTCGTCTATGACATAAACATCAATTATAATCAAAGTAATTAATGTTTTAGGATTATAAATATTTAAATATTAAATAAATGTTCAATTATTCGGGAATTGAAAAGGACTATATGATATTTTATTATTTATATTTTATTTGGTTACTCCATGGGAAACTTCAAGAGTGATTTTAAAGAAATATTGTATAAATACCATTCACTGTAAAATCACAATCACTTTACATGGAAGTAAACAATATGATTATGTATAACCCCACTTATCATTAACCATCGTGTAACGGAAACATAAACTTATTCCGTTACGAATGACATAAATCCAAACAAGTACTGTAAATATATACTATATATATATACTTATCATTGCACAAGAAATAGGAATGGTATTTTTACTACTTATTAATGTACGTTGTTACTTTCAAAGTAGACAAGCAAAGTTAAGGTGTACAGAGCTTGTTTTCATATACACAACAATTTAATTTATTCGCTCTTGCTCCGAGTATAGTCACAACGTTTTTGACTGATTTCATTTTTTTCCCTTTATGATTAGGACAAACATTAAGCATGAATAACTATAACAGCAAGCTATGGGTTTGGCTGATGAAATGGATGTTACACAGTACGAAGGCTTACCTATTTCATGATAGTTAAGATACGATACAAAAACATTCATTTCATCACAAAATTTCTATCTATTACGTCATTAAATATACTTATACAACAATAAAATAAATTGGCGTATATAGTAGCTCCAGTACTATAAAAATACCAATTTCAGACATCTGAACAGGTCTGGTTTTGACCGGTTCCCAAGATACATGTTTTGGTTCTATTCTTGTCCACTATGTGTCGCTTAGGAGTAGTGCTAATAGATGGGTTGGATTTGAGCGAAAAGTGGGATCCAGAATTTCTTCGGGATGACCTGGTTAATGACTCTGACATGGTGTTTTCTGAAGTTCGGAAAAATGTGGCGTCTCGTAGAGGGCGCTGCATCGATGGGAAACAGAAACAGACGCTTTTTGCAAGCCAGTTGCAGAATGGTAATTTTCTGAAACAAACGAATTTGTTTGAAGAAAAAACATATGAGCTAAATTATGTTATCCGAAACGTTAACTACATCAAACCAAAGACTAAATTATTATCATACATAATAAAAACAGAGGGAAAATATTTTTAGCTGTTTCATATGCTTCTTTGTATTCTCAAAATATATCAGCCGAAAGTCAGGTACAATAGCGCGATGACATGTTAGCGTATTATGTTATGTTTAATTGTACATTCATTTATCTTAAGTTTTAACTTTGAATCTTTACGTTTATTCGGACAAAGTTTGTCAGACAAACTAACGAAAGTAACACTAGTAAGGAATAACAAAACAACTATACATAATCTGTTAATATTTTAGAAAGTTAAAAGCTATTTATAAAGTACTATCTTTAAAAGAGCGCGTAAGAACCAATGATAATAGATTTTTCTAAAGTTTTGATTTCTGTTTCTCTAAAGATCAAAATCTCTAACGTTACCAAAAGTCAATTATACTTAAAATACAGATTGATTTACAAATTACTTATCTTCCGCAACGAATCTACCATAAATCTTCTTTACCACTAGTCTTTATCAGAATCTGAGTTAAGAATAATGGCAGGTCTTCTACACTGTAAGTAAAATCCCGCGATTTGATATCGGGATATACGATTAGTTGAAGAAGATGTTTTGATTGTATGCTACGATACTCTACTGAAACGTTTAGCAAATAGAATCAGACGTTCATTGGTTGCTCAGCACTATTCTGCACCGACACAAACAATAAGTAGTTTCACGTGATTTTGTTTTTCACTACTAAAATACTAAGTTACTACTTCTCTCTACCATATCGTAGAGGATTTAGAGCGTTCATTTTGTTTACTGCTAAACTTCCAATTGTAAAGATAGTGAAATTTCAATAATCTGAAGGTGTTAAACTGTGAAAAGTTTTGTAATTTCTTGTTGTTGTTTCATACTTATTCCGTAATTGACAGGGTTAGCTATTCTTACCTCACATTCTGATAGAGAGTAGTGGTAAAGAAGCAGTAAATGAATGGGTTAGCTATTCTTACCTGTTACGTATTACAATTTCGAATAGGCTGAAACTGAGTTAAATGATAATTGAGATTTATAAATTAGATAAATGCCGATATGTATCCAATTTATGATACTTGCCAACAAGATTGATACACACAGTTTTTTTTAATACAAATATATTTTAATATATAAACAATAACACAATTTACAATAATGGTTATTACAAATAATGATCTATAAACTTACAAACAATACTTAGTCCTCTATCTGGTCTGGAACTTCCTTGCTATCTTATGGAGGGTTCACGATGAACGAATTAATTTTGAGTTGATGTAGATACAATTCACTTAACAGGGAGCTAGCTGGCTCTATGTTTTTCGTTCTTTGCCGTTTCGTACGACGAGTTATTCACCGGTGAAGTTATATAATATTTTCGTAGAAATACTAATGTCCAATGTGAATCTGCTGATGTTAAATGGTTTGTAATATTCGAAATTTATAAACGTTCCTGGTCAAATATCTGAAGTTCCCGATTAATAAGCGTTATAACAATCACAGTTAGAGCTTCCCAGGTTTATAGCACACCAACCATAGCAAACCAGTAATATATACTGTCTTTTGGCGCGTCGCGTTGATTATATTTATTGGCGTGAGGAGAGTTTCTCAGAAATTTTAGCTTACGTAACAATATAAACGATACACCAGTGTTTACGTACACACATATATTGTTGATTCTTACATTCGAGAATTTTCTACAATTTTAGTGAATAGGCGGGAATTTCGCAATACAGATTTAACAGTATAAGTTATGTACATTTCTAAATATAAATTTAACTTAAACAAACATCGATATTAAAATAGACATATAATATTAAATCCGTCACATTACCTCAGATTCCGGTAAAGAGTAGTGGTAAAGAAGCAGTAAATGATCGGGTTAGCTGCGCTGTTGAGTGGTGCCAAACTTTGGACAAATGTTGAAATTGCAATCGTAGTCTGATTGTGTCTAATATAGCCAAACACTTGTAGTAGATCGTAGACGAAATACGGACTCCAGCACAAAATAAACACTAGATAACACACACACACATATATATAATGGAGATTATTAATGGTTTTTTTTTCTTAACGTAGTTTGTTCCTCAGAAACTTTGTAACAAATCAAATCCTTTTATACGTGTGCTTCAAGTTTACAGAAATATTATTCATTGTTTATTTGATTGTGATTAGAGCTTTTACATGATAATTGACTCCATATTTAACTACTTAAATACACTTTATTAAAATAGTCCAATAAATTTATCAATAATAATATAATAATGTATAACCCCCCCCCAAAAAAAAACAACAACAACATGCAACGAAACTGGAGAATAGCTTCAAAAACAAAATTCACTCTTCTGTAGACCGATAAAACAGTTGTATCACCTAAACCATTATGACAACATCTACTTCTAAAACTGACACTAACTAGGAGCAAGTGTTATCGGTATGTTATTTATAAAACTCATAATAATATACTCTCTCGTAATGTATACTGGTCAATATATAACGTTTTACTGTATGAAATAAATAAAGTGAGTGAGATTTCTGAAGGAGGTAGTTGTTTTTTGTTTTGTTTTTTTAATTTAAGGCGAATAGAATATTTGCGATGAGTAAATCGCAACAACTTCTTGTTTCTATAGAGAAGATGTGCAACAACCGCAGTGAATGACGTCTGTTAAAACTAAACATTGAGTGATGTCTATAAAACTAAACATTGGGTGACGTCTATTAAACCTAAACAGTTGGTAACGTCTATAAAACTAAACATTGGGTGACGTCTATATAAAACTAAACAGTGGATGACGTCTATTAAAACTAAACAGCGTGTGGTGTTTATTAAAGCTAAAAAGTGGGTAACGTCTATTAAAACTAAACAGTGGGTGAACTCTGTAAAACTATACAGGGGAGATGGCTGTTAAAACTAAACAGTGGGTAATGGTTACTGAATCTAAACAGTGAGTTGAGTGCTATTAAAACTAAACAATGTGTAATGTCTGTTAAACTAAACATTTAGTGATATCTATTAAAAGTGAACAGTGGGTGATTACTAATAATCTAAGCAGTGGGTGATGACTAATAAAACTGAAAAGTTAGCGACAGATTTTAAAACTAAACAGTGGTCTGAGGCCTATTAAAACTAAACAGTATTACAGTTTTCAAGGCTAAATATTGGAAAACGAATATATTTCTAAAATAATCTAGAATCCATGGAAACGACGTTTATCACTTAAAGCAATTCATCAAAACATAGACGTTACAAGGTGAAAAACAAAGTTCTGTGAATTTCTTTAAAAAAATTCCCTCTGGAATATTATGGGAATTACGAATAAAGCGATTAGATAAGTAAATTGCTGATTTAAAATAATATCAGATAACATTTGTGAATAAAATTTCATTGTACATACAATGAAACCACTGAGGTGGTAATTAGGTGGACGTCTCCTTCTGTAGCTTGCCATACATACACAGTCACGTGACCTAGTTCAATGTATATTTTCTACATTTACGATTGAATAAAAAACAAGAAGTTTTGCAATTCATATCAATAGTTTTCACACTATTCAGTGTGTCCCAAATAACAAGCATATCTTTATGACTCACAATGACTATCAAGACTTTATTATTCACGTATAGTAATGCAGAAACAATGGGCTTAGTGGAAATCAAGTAATGTGATTATAATTTTAAATATTTCTTAAATATGTTTGTGTGTATACGTTTAGTTTTGTTTACTGATAGTAAGTAACCTTCTGATTGTATTAAACTTTGAAGAATTAATGTATATTATAATTGGCTATGACATTTCGACACACTATCTGTTGCTAAGGTGAATTGCACAACTAGCTAGGTTTATAAAGTAAATCCCATGATACTTTAACAGGAGAACATCTCGGAGTTAAGAAGACATTGAGTCACCTACGGCAGTGATTTTACTGGATAGGTATGAGGCAAGATGTGGAAGAATGGTGCACGATCTGCAGTACATGTTGTGCTAAAAGGGGACCGAAGCATAAGGGACGTGTTCCAATGAAGTTATATCAAGTTGGCGCACCAATGGAAAATAAATGGCTTTACTATCTTAATACTTATCAACTTCCTGTCTCAAGATTAGTTTAGCTTGTGAGAACAACGTTTTTGTCTTAAGCACCAAACAATTTGGTTTTAGAATAGATATAACCAATATAGATATGCTTTAGAATCCTCGAGGTATGGCTCCTTCTGAGCGTTTGTAGCAATCATCTAGTTTTATCAATCTAATGATTAAATTACATGAAACATTTTTAGAAATAAAGTTATCGTGTAACATATATAAAACGAGACAACCTCATCTTTAAGACCACTCCGAATATTTCGAAATGTTTGTATAATTATCCGTGTTTTCACAATCTAATCGAAAAAAAAAAGAAATACCTAGGATTACTTTAGCCCAATAAATAAACATTTGAACATTAAAAGATTTTGTATCAGATTTTTATCGATTATGAGCAGTACCCAATACACAGAAAGATCATGTACAGTTACGAGTTACTTTATAGTCTTAACTAAGTAGTACCGTACTTTAAAGCAACCATCAATGAAAATACATTACCTAGGACAATCACAATCGTCATCTTGATCGTTTTGACTTTAGCCTTTGGGATAATTCCTCTGGAACTTATTCTTCGATTTTCTTCTACGCTAATGGTCGTTCTAAGTTTCATTGTGTTTGCTAAATTTGACAACACCATAAATCCTATAAATTGTTGATTATTCAACAGTATCAATAAGTTTATTTCAAATCACCTAATGTTCAATATTTAAAAATTCTTACAATTTGAACCTGAACTGTATTTATAATAACTTATGCATTAGAATTACGTTTTACTATTTAACCACAAACACATAATCGTGATAAAACATGTTAAAGCTTACCCAACTTAGTTTATAAACTTAATCAACGTTTCTGTTGTCGTATACGAATTAAGCGTTTATCTAAGTATACAAACACGCATTCCATAGTTGCAGATAAACTGTGCTGGTACATAGAATTCCGCCAATATAATACGATGTAGTTTTGTACAATTTTGTATTTTTGTGTAGAAAAAATTAAAAGCTTAAATGTGTAAAAAAGTTTGGACTTATGAACAAATTCTGACTGAGCTCGTATTTTTTTAGAAATAGGTTTAAAATGAAGTAATTAAATACTGGATTACTCGCATGTAGACTGAATTAAGTAATCAAATGCAAGGAAAAAAAGAACAATCTGCTAAAACATTTAACAAATAACGATGGGTGCTGGTGACTAACTATTTTCCCTCTAATCTAACATTTGAAAATTATAACGGCTTTACAGGAAAATCCAAAACAAACAATATACAATAAATGAAAACATGACACAGCGAAGAAAAACGTGGAGGACCGGTTAAAAATATTTATCAGTCTTTATCATCTCAACATTTCCAAAATTATCTTCAACAATCTTCTGAAACTATCTGTATCTTGGACGTACAATCTATGTATATGTTTAGTTTCTAGAGACCATTATATGAAATATTATCTGTATAAAAGTAATATTCAATACTGTGTTAACCTGATCAGGAATTGTCTTTGAAGAGTTCACAGTGAGCTAGCCTCTTTCTTGAGAGTATTTACACTTCGTATGATTACGCTTTCCCTACTAAATATGTAAGATATGTTGTAGCTTAACTTAGTCAGATGGTAATAAAATGATCTATACACCAAGGTTGAGCGTTCTATTCTTCTAATTTTGGTAAGTCATTAATTCGCACAGTGAAGATTATATCATCAGCAAACATACTGAGAAAGATGTGTTTGAAAAGTATTTGAGTATACTATACTACAAGTTAATTCTTAGATAAACTATTAGAATGGATTTCTCGCCGGAAAATCACAATACACTCATTGTGGACAAAGTTTCGGACTAGAGTTGTTCATGAAGCCTATATGAAGAGATGAAGAGCTGTTGCAATATACGCCCAAAATAAATTTATTATAACTTGGCGTATAATTCAGTTTAGTCTTTTGTTTCTACACTGTGTGCTTACCCTTGCCGACACAGCTTTTCTTTCACTATTTGATGTGTGGTAAATCTTCAAGGAAAGAAAATTTTACTTTCAAAGCCTTTATTTACTTTTTCTTCAAATATCGTTTCAATGAACCCGTTTCTTACATTCTTAAAACTTATCTCTCAAGACATTACATAATATATGGTGTACTGAGTCATTTTAGTGTCAATAAAAAGAGAAGATTCGTCTCACTTTCATCAAATATCTTTAACATTTATCGAATTAGATGAAATAATTTAAGAGAATGGTAACATAATAAACATACTCGATATCACAATAAATACTTTCTTAAATCCAAAGCTATGTTGCAAACTCGTGAAACAAACAAACAGGTTTCATGTTAAATTTTCGTTGACTGGGTATTACTAAAGTTCCTCGTTCAAATAGGAAAGAAAATATCCAGAATTGGAACAATTCGTGTGAAACTTAAAGCATAGTGACGAAAGTTAATTTTGCCAGATTAATTTTAAAAAATGATTTTATTTCTGGAGAAGTGGATTTGTTTTATCTTATTTCGTTAGCTTACGCAGACTGTAAGAAATATATAGCAAAATGTCTGTCATGGGTTGGTGGTTAGGGCACTTGAATCTATTCACAGAACCTGCCGTTGGGGCGTTATAATCTGACGGTCAATTCTAATTTTCATTGATAAAACGTCAACCATGGATTTGCGGTGGATGGAGTGGACTAGCTGCCTTCCATCTAGTCTATCGCTTCTAAATTAGGGACGGCTAGCGCAGATAGTCATCGAGTAGCTTTGCGCGAAATTCAACAAACAAACAAATGTGTATGAACAACTCCATGGAAAAAATCTGCCAAATATAAAACACTTGTAAGAACAATTCTGAATTTTAGAAATAAATCATACGAGAAAAATATGGTGATTCATACAATTTCAATCACTAACTGTTATCATAAGTATCAGTTCTGCATTAGAAAGTTAGATATACTTAAGCTCTGATAAACAAAGTATCATTAGAGATATATTAAGATATATTATACTTGCCTCCTCACTCTACTCTGCCCCACGTTGGTCAGCAGTAAGTCTGGGAACTGATACCGCTAAAGATCGGGTTTCGAAACCCGCAGTGGGAAGAGCACAAATAGCCCATTGTGTAGCTTTGTGCTTAACAAGGAAACAAGCGAAAATCTTCTTGAGTTTCCATATTCCCAGGTATTCGAATTTCAGTGAGAATTCATAACAGTACTTGGTTTCCATGGCGGTGACATGTAGTTTGTTTGTAGTTAAGCACAAAGCTGCACAAAAGATTATCTATGCTCTGCCAAACATGGGTATCGAAACCCGGTTTCTAGCGGTGTAAGTCCACAGACATACCGGTGTGCCAGTGGGAGGTGTTCAGAGCTGTGCAACAAGACTTTCTTGAGCTTTTCTTCATTCAAATAATTTAACCACACACTAAATATTTGGCAATACAAGTTTAATATTGTTACTCAAGGAAAATAAAGTCACGGATAATAATAATACTGGCGAAAGTTCGCTCGTGTTATTAGGTTGATATATTCTAGATGACTATGTCAACGTGTGTATCATGATCCTATTTTAGCGTAGAAGAGCAGTCAAAAATATTTTAAACATATTTTCATTCCTCAAAAACATACAAAAGTCGTAAGGGTACGATAATGATAAAATTGTCATAGGTAATTATAGATGCTATTATACGTCACATTATCTTACCTATTGTTGAAATGCATTGTTACCAAAACTCATTGGCTTTTCTATATATTAGAAGTTGTTATATAAGGAACCACTTCTTTTCTATGTGGTTTTTCGCTAGCTTGCCACATGGACAAAATAAGTAATAATACCCAGTTGCACACCCTCAGGGTCCACTTAGTATGGGTGCAAAATTCCAGGTTTCTATGTTATTTTCTCTAAGAGCTATGGCGGTCACAGACACATCTTACATCTTATCATTTAGTGTTTTCAAATGAATCAATGATTTTTGAAATATTGAAATATTTCGAAATATGTTTTAAATGTTTCTTTCTCATGAACCTCATTATACATAAAACATTGGTTACATTATTATCATACCAAACATAAAAAAGACATATTTAATGAAAATAAATTAAAACAGAGCTTTGATGAGAAAGCGAGTTTATTTAAAAGAATATCCCATCTATTATCCATACTCTATATTTTTCTTACACAATATTTCATGGAATTATTTTTAGATTTTTTAGAGCATTTTGACCTTAAACACAATGTTGCTGAGGTAAAAACATACCCTAATGTGTTTTCTACTAGTATTGATGACATAGGATCATTTTTAAGGGTTAGTGTGATATTCAATGATAATATATCCACTTTGAGAACATGCCTTTTCTTTCTCATCTGATGGATCATTTTACAATTAAATGTGTTACAGAATATTAGTTTAAGAAATCACTGAAACTTCAAAATAATTAAAAAGTAGGTTCTTTTCATATATACAAAAAAACCTTTTTACTTAAACTTTATATGAATTATTTTTTACTATTTTTATTATATTTCTTTAAATATTGTTACATATAATTAAAGTTTGTTACTCAAAGACACATTTATAATTTAATATGAGCTATTTAAATAATAAATTAAACAAAATTTCTATTTTCCTGCTGCAGCGAAAAACAATAGTTATATATATATTGCAATTTTATAAATGCTTTAAAAAATAATGTTGACTCAGATGTTAGAGAAAGACTGGCGAATTTCATATAAAGATATATAGAATATATACAGGGCCGCCGAAAATTATATTTTCTATCTTAAAATTTAATAACTAGATAACTAAATAAATACAACCATGCAGTTTTCAACATCATGTAGCCCAGCTCGAACAGTTTTTATTGCTATGTTGTTGTTTTTTTGTTTTGCTTCAGTGAGTAATGTTACCCCGTAAAATGGCAACCGTGCAAGAAAAGGTTCAATGCAATGGATTGGCCGAGGTGGGCTAATTCCGTGGCCTCCGCGTTCTCCAGACATCACTCCATTAGACCTCTTTCTTTAGTGGTATGTTAAGGATTTCGTGTATCGCACACCTGTAGAAAACATCACTGAGTTGAAGATCAAGATAACGGGTGCCATCGTCATTGTAACCGTGAACATGTTGCAGTGAACGTTGACTGATATCGAATATCGGCTGGTGAAAGCTACTAATGGTGCACACATAGAAGTCTGCTGACATGCCAATAAAAACTGTTTAAAGTGGTCTACAAGACGTTGAAAACTGCATGGTTGTATTTCTTTAATTAATTAATTATTAAATTTCAAAATACGAAAGATAATTTTGGACTACCCTGTATAATGAAACTTAATACTTCACTCGCAGAAGTAACATTTAATAAAAAGGTTAATCACTTTGGTTCTTAAGTTCTACTTTTATGTCTTCTTATTTGGTATACTTTCCATCTTTCACGTAACATAACATGTCAACTTTGACGAATGTCATTGTTTGTGGACTTTTTAATTGAACTTCATAGACAATTGTGAATATAGATTTCCAACAAAATATCTTTGTAGTTATTTTAACATTTATATGTTTGTTTGGAATTAAGCACAAAGCTAGACAATGGGCTGTTTGTGCTCTGCCCACCACGGGTATCAAAACCCGGTTTCTAGCGTTGTAAGTCCGCAGGCATACCGCTGTGTCATTGGGGGCCAACATTTATATATATATATATTCTGTTCAGAGAATGATGTTAAAATGTTCTCACCTTTAGATAGAAAAGTTGTTCTCTTTTGCTTTGAATACGTTATTGGTCCACTTTTGGTCCAGATAGTCCAGACGATGACAGTATAGCAAATGGAAATAATAACTGCTGGAAGAAAGAAGACCGAGATGGCCACCAGGGTAAAGTAGATTTTCCACTGCCAAGGTTGAAGCTCAGCCCAGCACTGAAACTTACCACTTTTCTTGGATTCATTGTACAGAAACAAAGAAGGAGCTGAAGCCACAGCACTAAGACCCCAAGCACTTATAACAAGTATTCGAGCCCTCTTCCCTAAGAGGATATAATACATAAAAATACATATATATCAGAAAGACAAAAACAAATATCAATCTAAACGTTCTTAAGATTGATCTTTGAAACATTGGTTCATTAAGATAAAAGTTTAGATAAACGACCTTTACACCGCAGAAAATGATGCCGAGGTTTTTTAAACTATATTCAGTAACTGAACTGTAAACAAGAAATGAATAATTGTAAAGTAGTAATTTTAAAGTAAAAAGAAAACCACAGGCAAAGCTAAAATGGCAAAGCTAAAATGGCTAAAGAAATAATGCCATAAGATTTTAAACCTTTAGGGAACTCCGACTGTTATAAATAAATCATATTTTCTGCCATAGGATATTCCCGAGACACTAAAATAATCTGCCAATTAGCAAAAAGCATCTTCTACTTAATAAACTAATTGTATGTTGTCTTTCAAAGTTTATAGTGCATACTGGATGGATTTACACATTAAGATAAAAGTTTAGATAAACGACCTTTACACCCCAGATGTAAATATACTTTAGCTTTGCCATTTTAGCTTTGCCTGTGGTTTTCTTTTTACTTTAAAATTACTACTTTACAATTATTCATTTATTGTTTACAGTTCAGTTACTGAATATAGTTTAAAAAACCTCGGCATCATTTATTGGTTAGTGTATTTTTATATACCAGTAGTTATTGTAATGTAAAGTGTCTGTTGGGGACAACTGTATAAAATTACCTTTGTTTAACCACATTAATGGTGCTACAAATCGATGAAGAAGGAAAAGTTATAATACTGAAGTATTATCTTATGACATGTTTATAAATATCTAAAACAAAAATAGACATGTAGTTTTATAACAAAAATACCGTTATTTAATAACTAAACTTCTGAAGTAGGATATAGTACTTTTATTTACATACAAGTGTATATAAAAACATAATTATAACTAATTGTTTGCAATTATTTAAATAACATAATATGAAAATTCTTACATCCTCCTGAAAATTTCATTGGGTTGATAATGGCGTCATAACGGTCAATACTCAGCGCCACCAGCACATACGTAGAGGAATAAGTAACTAAGATCTGGGATTAAAATTGTAAAAGTGCAATGAGCATTATAGTTGAATTTTTTAAAACTTAAATTAAAACGGTACGTATACAAAAAAGTACACACACACACACACACAGATATATATATATATATGTAGAGAGAGAGTGTGTGTGTGTGTTATCAAATTACAATTACTAGAATTTCTCTTTTTTTTTATAATAACATTTGACTCATCTATTCAGAAGACTGTTAGAGCAACGAGCAGAAAATATGGCCTAGACTAAATACTATTCCGTGATTCTGGAAAAGTCAGAAGCCTGTGGTTAAGTGATGGAGAATTCAATAAAAACGTAACTATCTGTGAAACATAAACTTGTAGAAAGAAACGGAAATAAAAAAAAGTGAGCGAGATAAGGTTCATTGAGCAAGATCAAAACCAACTACCACATGTGTATTTACATAAGATACCAGCCAAAAATAACAGGTCACAAAAAATCGTGATAAAATAGAGAAAATAAAACAAAGTGAACATGAAAGTTAAGCAGAGGGCGATCATCTTCCTGTAAACTAAAATCCTATCATGGTTTGTGTTTCTTTTCTGTTATTGTTTCCTATAGGTCTGGTACTAGTCAATAACTGATTGAAAGTTTCTTTATGAAAGTAGAATTTTATATGAATAAATAAACAGTTGTAATGTATATGTATATTTACATACGTAACTTCTGTAACGAAGTAGTACGTTGTATGTTTATTAGATACATAACTTCTGTAATGAAGTAGTACGTTGTATGTTTATTAGATACGTAACTTCTGTAACGAAGTAGTACGTTGTATGTTCATTAGATACGTAACTTCTGTAACGAAGTAGTACGTTGTATGTTTATAGATACATAACTTCTGTAACGAAGTAGTACGTTGTATGTTTATTAGATACATAACTTCTGTAATGAAGTAGTACGTTGTATGTTTATTAGATACGTAACTTCTGTAACGAAGTAGTATACAACGTACTACTTCGTTACAGAAGTTACGTATCTAATAAACATACAACGTACTACTTCATTACAGAAGTTATGTATCTAATGAACATACAACGTGTTCATTAGATACGTAACTTCTGTAACGAAGTAGTACGTTGTATGTTCACTAGATACGTAACTGTTATATTCTACCAAATTCATTGTTGGCATTTTTTTCATTAATATTACAGAAATTAAAAGACTACATTGTTTCCAGCTTTTTAAACAAATAGGGATAACGAAATTAAACGATGTGAGTACTTGTGTACGGCGTGTTTTAGTATATCGAAAATAATTGAAACTCTGTAAAAAAAAAATAAAAAAATTGAAAGTTGGGACTACAACTTAATAAAAGCGAGTGGCTGGCTTATGTAGTTGCGTCAACAACAAACGAACATATATTTTTCTAAATTCGTTTCGAACATCAAATTGAGCAAAAAATTCCGATAATTCATTTAACTAATCTCAGGAGAATAAAACGTAATAAGGTGAAAATTCAGTTACTTGGATTTTTTTCTAGCTATAAGATTATCTAGAATAGAGAATTTGTTATTGGTTAGTAACATACAGAATGAATCTATAAAGAGATTACAGGAGCAATGTTTCTTGTGTACGTTTTTTTCTGTTTATTTGATTATTTTAGCTGATTTTGAAATATTTGTTCCGCTTTAAGCATACAGTTTAAGGTTTGGTAAAAATATTTTCAGATGTTTTAAGTTATATTTTTTTCTATACAGCTATAGTTTTATTCATTAGATGTAAAAAACATGTCTGGTTTTTGCTCGTATTTCAATTTAGGGTTATGCGTAAAATGTAAAACATTTCATTTGATTTATAAGCGTTGTGACAAATGCTTTTACTTTTGCGTATGAAATAATAATGCAGGATGACTATAAGGAAAATTCCGTATTTAAAATGACTATATCATAAAAAAACTTAGGGAAACAAAATTTCACCAAGATCATTTATAATCCTAATTTTAATTACAGAAAGACTGGGTGTTTCCAAAACCATGTTATAATGTATATCTAAATCGCTTTCATCCCCAATTAGCATTACTTATATTTCTTTTCTTTCTCTTTCTTCAACACACGATATTGGTGGATTAAATAAAACGCGTTTTACTTTGCGGATCATCCAATTAGCGTTCGACTGTGGAATCAAAATAATTGCATCTTCACTTTTGTCAAATGGCAATTGCAAAGAGAAAACGTGAGCCCAACACCTCGCCGTAGAGATCCCCAGACATTACACATTTAAACAATTCCAAAGAGAAAACGTGAGCCCAACACCTCGCCGTAGAGATCCTCAGACATTACACATTTAAACAATTCCAAAGAGAAAACGTGAGCCCAACACCTCGCCGTAGAGATCCTCAGACATTACACATTTAAAGAATTCCAAAGAGAAAACGTAAGCCCAACACCTCGCCGTAGAGATCCTCAGACATTACACTCTTAGATTTTTGGCGCTAATATTTCGTTAAGAAAATGTCTGGCAGGTTTTGTATGTATGCATGGGCCGGATTCTCTACATTGGGTGTCTGTGACTTGTTGGCGATAAATTTCAACAAAAAAAACAACAACAACAACAAAATCCACTTGTTTTAAAATAATATATTAAAACAAATCAAACGTGTATACAAACGTTCGTTACACTGTTGGTTATCGCAGTTGTATCGAGAGCTTTAAGTAATTGTCTCTTTTTCGTCAAACTCCACACACGCTGTTTCAGTTACTTTAGAACACAATTTGACACCCTCAAAACTTGGAGGTTCATTTCAAGATAGGTTAGATATGTTGTTATAGTTTTTTGAAACACCCTATACCATGTTCAAGCTTTTCTGATTAAAAAATCATTATTCTCAGTGTGCCTTTGGTGATATTTAGTTCTCCTAGAACTGGTAGTTGACAAGGTACAATTGTTTTAAATATAAGATTCACTATTTCTGAACACATGAAAGTTTCTTTTAAGATATAAAAAATAATTAATTAATCTTTTGACACTTTTTTTGTTCCCCAAGTTATTTGTGAAGAAAAACAGTAATTGCTTTTAAACCAATTACTGTTTTATATGATACGTACTTTGTCATATGAACTACATATAGTTGATGCGTACGATAAATACTTAAGTCATTTTCGATTAAACTAAAGGTCAGCATCCGGAACGAAATATCATAAAAACTGAATTTTAAAAGGAGTGTAAAAGCTTTTCCTGAAGAGTATGCATATAATGTCATTATACTTATGTGTTTTTTTTTTGTATTGTTCTCTTTACGTTCTTTATACTGTTCAGATAATGAGTAAAAGTTAATTTTTCATGTGACAAACTATCTCAACCCTTTTAAGTTTCCTTTAATACACCACCCCTATTCTCTACCAAAGAAACTGCCATTTTGACTAGATTGCTACATTTCATAAATGATTTTATAAGAGACATCAAGGTGCTATTGTTTCATATCATTATGACCAGCACTGTATACCTGTTGTAATTTATCAGTTTTTGTTGTTTGGTTTTGTCAGTTAAGAACTTACTTTGCCACATCATAACTCTAAGTCATTTATCGTTGTAAAACCGTAATTACTTTTAACTTATAATGCGCAGGCGGTAATAATTTATTTTACAGTAAATAACGAGCAAGAGACGAGTGACGAGTTATTTATTTCCTATAGAAATGAGATTATAATAATGTCTTTTGGTACAATTTGTAATAAATCATGCGACAAAACTAACAACCATAGGGTTTTATTGAAATACATGCATCCACGTTTGTTTGCGCGAATTATATCAAATGTGAAAAACTTTAATAAAATACGCACCACATTCTGAAATGAACTGATTCAAATGTACACACACACACACACAAAAGTTCGACATTTACAGAAATCTCTTTATCGATGAGTTAATGTATATAATTTAGTATGATTACCTCAGATTGTTAATTTATATAATTTAGTATGATTACCTCAGATTGTTAATTTGAATAATTTAGTATGATTACCTCAGATTGTTAGTTTATATAATTTAGTATAATTACCTCAGATTGTTAATTTATATAATTTAGTATGATTACCTCAGATTGTTAATTTATATAATTTAGTATGATTACCTCAGATTGTTAATTTATATAATTTAGTATGATTACCTCAGATTGTTAATTTATATAATTTAGTATGATTACCTCAGATTGTTAATTTATATAATTTAGTAAGATTACCTCAGATTGTTAATTTGAATAATCCGAATTATTTTGTGATATTATGGGTTTTATTTTAACACTTAACAATATCTGGCAACATATGAATGTTAACATATGCTTGAAACAAAGCTTCTACAAAATATTTGTAGAGATCACTTATCTTAAACGAAGGTTGTTGGTTCTTAATTGTTCCTTTAACATAAAATATTTTACTTTTTGCTATTTTGCCATATCGTGGCTGCATGCTATAAATATTTGTTCAGGTATATCTTAACTAATGTTGTTGGTTTTTAAATGTGCCTTTATCGTAAAATGTTGTACATTTTGTTTAATCATCTGTGGTTTTGTGTTTACGTTTATCGTATTTTTCATAAGAACAGTAACATTTGGGCACTGTATGTTCTTTTGAAAACATTTTCATATACATCTTCAAGTTGACTATGAATGAGCCAGTAGGATAACTGTGTGCCTAGAAGAAAAACAGGGCGGGGAAAAAGTTACCATACAGCTGGTACCACATGGTTGGTATAATTGGTACTAAATAAAGTATTATGAAGGAAATTGAAACCAGTTTTATTATTGTTTATTTCAGAGTAATAGTTATTAATTAAATTATGTTCTAAATGAAACAACTGCATAATCACTTTTCTCCAACCCTGTACATATTGCTTATAAAAAAAAATATATATACGCAGAATACACTTGCAAAAGTGATCACTTGGCATGGACACTAAAATATAATGAATAACTTATTTGACTTAATAAATACATACAGATTATCTGTAAAACAGAACTTTTGAAACCTGCAAGGTCTATTAAAGAACTTCAAAATTAGCAAAAATAAAAACTGTCCAAACTGGTATTGCCCTTTTTTATACAAAGTACATTTCAGCATAAGTAAATTGATTAAATAAACATTTGATATTTTTAAAATACTAGTGAAACCTGAACAGTAAAAGTTTGATGATAGTTTCAAAATTATACTTTTTCGTCTTCTAATTTGTGACTATATTGCAATGATTTCAAAGACAAAACGTTGGTCATGATAAAACAAGATTTCATTTGAGAGTTAGAACACAGATATGTCGATTGCAAGCAAAATTTTAAATTACAATCTACCAAAAATTAATCTTAAATATCTATAGAAAATACAGTTAAACAAGTACGTATGTATGTATTGAGTGTAAAAAAACAATGGATGTTGTGATGGGATTAATCGAACGTGATGACATTTACCTGGAGGTATTTGATGATCTTACACCCAATATTTCCTACATGGAACTCCACTGTGGTTCTCCAAACGATGTCCGTAAGCACACTGACCAGACCTACAGTCATATCTGAAACATAAATAGTACAGGATGAAGCTCGATCAAGACTCTCACGTAAGCTTTTACTGGATAACAGATGGAGGTAGTAAATCAATGAATCATTTTGGAACCATTATGTGGTCAAGTGTCCAAAGAACATCGCCAATACTCAGTAATAAAAATATGAAAATAAAATAATGAGTAAACGAAAAGCAAAAGAGGCAAAAGAAATCAAATGGCTTCACTATATCACATGTAAGAATTGAAGGAGATATTAGGTCAACAGATGGACGAAAACCGACAATAAAGTTGGTAAAGAGGAAAACAGATATAAACTGAGTAGCTAGAAAAAATTAATGTACTGTGAAAGCTTCTAACATTAGTAAAGACTAAGTCAAGGAAAATAAACTCGGTAATCAGAGACCAAATTATACTATGAAATATAAGCAGCCACGGTTCGCTAAATTAACTGATAACAAATACTTGTTTTTTGTTGTTGCCAAAGAAAGATGGAAATGAAATAATGGATAGTGTACAGTGTATTTTCAGAACAACAGGAAAAACAAATAAGAGACAAATTGAGCAAAAAAAGTTTACACGGCCAATGTCAAAAGTTGTATGTGATAGTGATCTTAACTTTTAAATGTTAAAGGTTATTCTTGGGGAAAAATTATTTATATTCTTTAGACGAGAATCAGTTTTAATGTTATATTGTTTTTTTGTACTGAATTTTTTGAAGTTCAAAATTCTTGTATAATAGTCATAATATAATGATCTATTTAAAAAATGCTTTTAAAATATAAACAAAATACTTTTGAAATAGAAAAATGTGTGCATCATGATAAACACGATTTTAGTCATAATCTGAAATAAACATAATGACCAATATTTTCCGTAAACAACTAAAGCGTTACTTACTAAAGGATTTTATTAAAATATTCTGTTTCCTAAAGTTTTGGGTATTAAACATCATCAAAATGTATAGAATTAAAGCTTTTTAAAAAATCTCAAACCTAGGGTTTCTGGCCAACTTTAAGGTTTTTATAAATAACTTAAAAAGAACAAAACACAGACTATTCCCAGTGCTCATTTTTCATGAATATCGCATACTTTCATGATGCTTGTGTACTTCACGTATGAGCCGAGCGTGGTCTTATGTTTAGCCTGCTCAGAGTGTCAATCCAGAGTTCATTGCAGCAAAAACTAGTGCATTTTTGGGGTCGATGTTGTGCTATAAGAGTGACAGTCAAATCTCAATATTCGGTTAGACAGGAGTAGTGCAAGAGTGTTTATAAGACTGTTAATTTTATAATTTTCTATATATATATATAGAATCAATACAGCAATGGATGGATGTATCACTTCACTAAGTTTTAACTTTTAGGTCCAAAAATGAAGAACATGTGGTGTATATATATATATATATATTAGGTCATCAAGAAATTAATGTCGCTTTTTTTAGATGAGAAAACCCGAACAACTTGTATATACAAAACAAAAACATTTTTTATATAAAATAGTCTCCATTTTTATCGATGATGCTTTCCATCTTACAATCAAGTTGCTATTGTACTGATTAAAGAAATCACATGGCTTTAAAGTAAAAAAATCATGTTAAAAAAGATGGTAATTTGATGACGCCATATCTGGAGAATATGGTGGGTGGGGGGGAGGACTTCTTAACCAAACTCCATAATCTTGTGTTGCGTCAAACGTGCCACATGTGGACGTGTATTGTCGTGAAGAAGAAGAACACCTTTCCGATTGTCTTATGGTGAAAGTCAATGTATATTACTTAAATTTTATGGCAAAAATCAACGATAATGTTTTCTGAATATTTATAATAAATTTGGTTTAGAAATACGAATAATGAAACGAAAGCTTGTAATTTATTATTAAACATTATCTCATAATGATTTTTTTTGTCTTCTTCGGCAACATAATTTTCTTAGAAATATTTTACATGTTACTTTGCAATATTGTATTTTGTAGTAATGTCATTAAATTGTTGTATTTAGCCCATAAAATTATAGGAATGTGCGACGGATGGACAAATTTCAGTTGTTGTATATTGCTTGTCTATAACTATCTCTTATCGGTTTAAAAAAGTGATCATTCGAATGCCCTAGATAAATGAATATTTAACTCAGAAGAATAAACATATAATCACATAAAGTGCAATAAACAGAAAACTTCAATTGGCGTTCAAAAAGGTTTCGGTTGATTTCTAAGGTTTGGTGCCGTCTACTTCTGTAAATTTGCAGTTTAATGTTTTTTAAATAAAAACTTCATGTAGACTCAAGGTAGAAAACAAAACGGTTTGACCAGTTCTTTGAGATGTCTTTTAAAAATGAATTAATATTATCTAGTTTTATCTAGGATCATCTAATTTTATCTAGTTCAAGCAGGACATATTTTATTCTCCAAAATATTGTTTTATGAGACTTTAACTATCCATACCTTCCATACTCTTGCAAGTAATGAGGTTAAATATTAAAGTTATTGCTAATATCAAAAAATGTCATTCATTGGATTTTTCTTAGAACATGGTGAGGAGACCACAATAAATCAGGTTATTTACCAAGCGAAATTTCTTCCTTGTATGCCAGACCTAAAAACTTTCAAATGTTTATGCATATATATATATATACAATAAGAGACTTTTTATTATCAGATATTATTACCATTATGAGAAAACATTCAGATTCTCGATAGTTGCAAACGTAGCTGTTAGACATACCCGAATCTCTGAATTACATTATATAACAGGCAGCATCTATGATTCACTGTACTGAGTCATTATTAAAAGGCGTTTTTGGAGGATACGAAGTAGCATATTCTACACGGTGGTAAATATCTTACTGAGAAGGTGAAAATGAAAAGTGAAGAGGAAACATTGGTGTTAGTTCCCTTGTAGTAATCTAATTAGCTTTACTATGAATATATAACAATTAACGACTTCAGCCTGTTTCCTTCACTGAGACAAGGGACTTCGAGTTACCTCCTTGGTTTTATAAATTGCCGACTTCAATCAGTTTAAACATATCATTAAATGTTAAAACTGACTGCTCATCTAATTAGCTTTACTATGAATATATAACAATTAATGACTTCGGCATGTTTCCTTCACTAAGACAAGGGACTTCGAGTTACCTCCTTGGTTTTATAAATTGCCGACTTCAATCAGTTTAAACATATCATTAAATGTTAAAACTGACTGCTCATCTAATTAGCTTTACTATGAATATATAACAATTAATGACTTCGGCATGTTTCCCTCACTAAGACAAGGGACTTCAAGTTACCTTCTTGGTTATATAAATTGCCGACTACATCCAGATTAAAGTAAAGTATTAACTGCTGAAGCTTATCGTTCTTATAAGTCATTGATTAGTTTCATTTCAAACTTTGGGCGCAAAGCTACAGGAAGGGTCATCAGAATATAATCGCCACTAATTTTATGATAATAGACTAGAGGGAAGGTAGGTAGTCAATAGCACCCGCCAACAACTCTTATCCTACTGAATTGTGAGATTTGGTCTTCTCCACCTTCATTTTTATAATGTACCAACGGACGTAAAGTACGGAGCACATTTTCACAGCAACGAGACGCGAAGAAAATAACCTTCGAAATCACAGTCTGGTCAAACTAAATGTCAGGCCACACCTATCCCTTTTACTGATTAGAGATCACTTAACTCACTAAATAATGGTTCAAATTAGTTTCAAAGGTCAAACTTGAACAGTTCACGAATCAATATTAATAATAGTTATCCCATTTTTTGTGTTTTTTAATGCACCACTAAAACTGGTAAACAGTTTGTGTTACTAAACAGCTGGAATTTTCAGGTAAAACAGATTTCCTTACAAGTCTAAGGCAGACCCACAAATAAGAACAGGCTCGATAAACAAATAACGAAAGTGTTCTGTAATAGATAATTAAGTGTGAAATAACGAGCATGGACAAAATGTAAGTAAAAGAACAAAATATTTATTGCGATAAATAACCAGAAAACAGTGTTTGAACATACACACAGACGGAATGTGAGTCCTTTCTGCTAGGCTAGGCTTAGCTCCACGGCTTTCTCTCTCTCTCAGGATTAATATCAATAGAACTAAAAAAATATATTTTCTTAAAAGCAATCTTACTTGATAATTTCCTAGAAGAAGCGGGCCTTAATTCAACATGTAAACTTGTTTTCTTTGTCAAGTCGACAACCCCACTTAGTGATCTTTATTCTCCTCAACATTGGTCAGTTGTACTTAGACCTTGTGACTTTTATTCTTTTCAGCTTTGGTCAGTTGTACTTAGACTTTGCGACTTTTATTCCCCTCAGCTTTGGTCAGTTGTACTTAAACAAAGGCAATTCGGCCAGCAAATATATTACAGTGGTATCGAAACCCGGTTTATAGCGTTGTAAGTCCGCAGACATACCGCTGTGCGACTGGGGGGGGGGCACACACTATGTACCATAGAAAATAAAGAAACAAAACAACCAAAACAATCTCAGTGGCATTCTAGACCACGTGTGTTATACTAAAACTACATATAAGCTAGATAAACGAAAAATTTTTAAATGTCTATATCACTGAAGCAAGCAAGAAAATTTATGACATGTCTGCATATCACAAACGTAAAAGTTCCTGAGCAATCAATCACGTTTCTAATTTTACGAGGAAATTAGCGACAAACACATACAAAACGATTTAACTTCTTAAGTACATGAATAGCTAATACACTGGTACGGTATAGATAACTAAGTTAACTACCTTATATATTCTGTTTTTGTCTGTTAGTTTTCCTCGGAATTTAAAACATTCATTCACCAATTTGTGAGTGAATCCACGAAGGACGACATCGAAATAGAGGCTGGAGTATTCTAACATAAATATATGTGCATGTATATGAACGATATAAGTTTTATAACACTATAACACATTCGAAATAATCAAAAAATCTCAATACAAAAGTATTTATCATTGGATCTTCCTCTATTTACATTTTCTATGTCTAGATATTCATGAAATAA